CCTCCAACAGAACATGAATCCTGTGAACTGGAACCTTATGTGACTTGTGCTCCTACTATATCCCTTAGGCCCAGGAGAAAGCCCTGTGAACGGTATGCCTTTGACTGTTTGTTGCATGAATAAAATGGCATGTGATGAAAATGGTAAAAAGGTTTTCTCTCTCTGATCTTCGGTCACTTACTGTATGCCAGCTATAACGTCCACGGACACTAACTTACCTATATATGTGTCATTCCCAACTCCTTCTATAGCAGCAAAAGGCCAGAGTGGCTCTTCAGGACTCTTCAATTTGTGATACAGGAAAAGGTAAGGAGAAAAATGACTCAAGAGAGGATCAAGTCTGTTCCCTCCAGGCAAGACGAGTAAGGTATGAAAACAAAATAAATTCCATATTCTCTCCAGCCTGGGAATCTGATCTGATAAGCAGTGGGTCAGCAGGGTGCCCTGCCAGAATGTACAGACCTAAACAGTCTTATCTTTGCATATTTATGAAGATCTTTGGATGGATGGTATCTGCTAAACTTTTTCCAGACCAAATAAATGACTTTTTACTGGGACAAGGACTCTTCATTAATTTCCTAAATAAAAATATCTTGCAGGTTTTAAGTAAGAATCACACGTATTAAAAAGTTGAACTACAAGATGTTCTTCTATGGTGTCATTCTCTTAAAATAGAACCCTCCTAAAATCTCCTAAAAATAAGTCTGCATAGTTTCATTTCATTTTCTAAGAAGGAGATAAACATATCAAAACAAACACTTAGCTTCTTTTTTAAAGACTCTCTCTGCTACAGGGCCCACAGATCAAAGTTTAAAAGGGCCAATTTCTTCACTTCAGAGGTCGATGACACAGCTTTGAAAAAGAGGAAAAACAGTCCCCCAGTCCCCCTAGTGTGCTGAGGCTGTAGGAAGAGGAAGTGTATTCGTTGAGAATCCCTGACGAAGACAGTCCTGCCAAAGGAAGTTACAAAACAGCATTTTGGTAACATGGGCCAAGCAGAAGACAGATTCCTTACACATGACTGTAACTGGCCCTTTGGTGAGTTACTCCAAAAGGTGACTGAGGGAAGAATTACAAGCCAACATGGAATTATCACAACTTTGTCATTTTGGAATTAAAAAAAAATATTTTTTAAATATAAAAGTTGCGGTTAAAATGACATTTTCTTAACATAGTGTGTTGGGAAGGAACTGCATGCATTAATCTAAAGAACCAGAACAGTAAGAACATCAACAAGCACTGCGTGGCAGGTGGGTCCTCATCTTTTCACTCTGGGAAGAAGCTGTAAGAGTACATATTGTCACATGAAAGAAGACTAGTCTCTTGCAGAATTAACCTCCACAGCAGCAGCAGAAATCGTCACACACACAAGATCCTCCATTTGTGAAATTTTGAGAACCAGCACAGAAACTCACGACTACTTGATACAATCATGCCCTAACCCCGTGGGAAATGCAGGTGTGTGGGTGTGAGTAGGTGAATAAGCAATAAATAGACCTTAACAGGTAAACCCTGGAGTCCTAGAGGTCTGCCCCCCTCCCCAGGAGGAACAGAGAGAACAAACCAGTTTCATTATGGGTGGTGCAGTACAAGTAAACTTAATCCGAATTAAAGGAAATGTAACCTTTTCCCCTCGTGACCACATCTGATTATTCATTTCTACTTATTGCCTGAGGTAAGGGAGCCTGTGAGATAGCCATCACCTTTCTGTCTGGCACAATATGCATCTTTCAAACCTAAGTTAACCAGGAACTTCCTCCTTTTGTTAAAATGCTATCTTTTCTGCCACCTTCATCACTTCATAATTCCTAAGTACCCATACTGATCAACACTGGACGGCTATACAAATATGAGAAACTCACTCAGCCTCCATCAATATTCATCTGTTTCTGATGCTAAAATAATAACCAAAACATCTTTAGACTGAGAGGCAAATACGCTTTTCAGGAAAGCATCTTTTACTTGTGTAAGACTACTTGTTACTTAGTAAGTGACTTTTAAAGAATAGATCCTCGATTTAAAGAGGAAAATAGTGTGATAAAGAACAAATCTCCAGAACTGCGACTATTAATTACCTGTGTACTAACTAGCTGTGTGATCTTAGAGAAGTCCTTAACTTGAAGAATCAGGTTCTTCACCTATGAGGGAGTTGAACAATCTGCAAACCTCATCCCGGCTGTATATTAGAATAACCTGAGAAACTTAAACAAAAACAAACAAACAAAAATAATGCTAAGCCCCAGACCAGCCCAATTAAAACCGATTCTCTGGGTATTGGCTTTTTTTTTTTAAGCTCCCAGGTGATTCTAATATGCAACCAGGGCTTCAAATCACTAGTCCCAGTTCTGATCTCCAATGCCTTCTTTTCTAATCCTTTCATTCTCTGATCTTAGGGTGAGAATTCTGGTGACAGAATCTCAGAATGCAACAGGCCAAAAAAGCCACAAAAAAAGCAAGGCCTAAGCCCTGCATACTGTGCCTATGTGCACACAGGACTAGGAGAGGTTAACCTGAATTCTAGACATTTTTAGAAGTTAAAAACCCTAATGCATAACTAAGAATGAAAGCAGTGTGGTTTAAGTGCACATGCCTGCTCTCAAAATGACTAATCGTGATAGGAATCAACTCCTGAAACTTGGACGCAGGGAAATGGGTCACAATTAGCTCCTGACCTCTCCCTCTTCCCTCTTCTACCACCCCCACTGAACCACAAGCACAAAAAAAGGCTGGCTATTAGTCATAATCAGAATATGAAACCAGCCCCAGTTTCAAAGGGCTTTCTCCATCATCAAAGATTTGGAAGTTCCTGCATGGGTGCATCTTTTGATGAAAGTCATCTTACAAAAAATCTTTAAAGGATATCCCCACAAGTTGTCACATGATACTCAGAACTAGTATAAAATCTTAAAAATAATTTTACTTACCTTAAACATAAAGACATTTTACTTTATGCCCTTTATTAAACATATTAAGGCTCGAGTTTCAATTTATATTTCACAAATGTTAGAGATAAGATAGGAACTAATTTAACACTGTGCATTGAATATACTCCAACCAAAAAAGAGAGAGAGAGAGAGAGAGAAATGAGATAGCATGAGACCAAAAAAAGGTTAAGGACATAAAACCATAAAGTTTATGACTAGGCCCCAAATCTCTATTATTAAGTCCTGCAAGCTACGTGAAAATATAATTAACTGAATCACAATTCATGGCTACTTTTGGTAATACTACTTTCTCACCTAGATCTTTAAAAAAAAAAAAATCAAAACTGTTACCATCTTTAACTGTAAGCACAATAGCAAGAAATATTATTTGTGGAATTAAACTACTTTTGTAAACTTGAAAGTCATGGGAAATGTGAAAACCCTTCCAACGCTAACTTTTTAGCTTTAACTAGCTAACTTTTAACTAGCAGATCCTCTGCACCAAGTTCAAAATATACAGGACTCACTGCAAGTGTGAGAAATTTGAAAAATATTCCAAACCCCTATATCCATTTTCTTAGATCTTGAAACCCACCCCTTCCTGACACTATACACTGAGATTAACCCTTGCTATTCACTTGGAAATTCAGTTTTAAAAGCTATCACAGTAACACTGCTTTGAAATGGAACTCACTCCCATGCTTTCTGTAAATGGCCCTCGGATCACACAGCTGGCATTCTTTTGCAAAGCTTTAAAATTAAATCAAATGTAAGATTCATAATGTCAGCATTCATTAAAGGAAATGAGACAGATATGTGGAATAATTTCAAAGCACACATTTTGCTTTTAAGGTATCTCAGCAAGGGGCGCCAGGGTCGCTCAGTTAAGCATCTGACTCTTGATTTCGGCTCAGGTCATGATCTCAGTTTCCTGAGTTCGAGCCCTGAGCTGGCCTCTGCACTCACAGCGTGGAGACTGCTTGGGATTCTCTCTCTGTCCCTCCCTCACGCTGTCTGTCT